GGACTTACATAGGGTATGAAGTGCAGTGGGCTTTAAGATTTGCTGTTTGTTTTTTTCACATTTGTCAAGTATAATTATGTATTTGTTTTATGTGCATGTTTATTACCTTTCACCTGTGTGCATAAGGTGGTTTATTTCTTATGCAGTACTTGATGAAGAAATATATAAGTTTAGCTTTTAAATATTTTTAAAGAGCTGCACATTTTGATTTATTAGGTTTTTGGTTATTGTGTGTGAATCACAGTTCTGTGCTAGCTAGCTTTATATTAGGGTTGCTACGCGGTGACAATCTTTTGTATTTTTGTATTGAAAATCTAGTGATACTGAAAGAATTTGCCATTTATTAAACATAGTTGCTTCAGGTATCGAGTGTCAATGAACACCTATTACCTGGTGAGTGTAAAATTCTGTAAGGCTCCATTCACACTTGTGCAACTTGTCATGCGACTTTGGACTTCAAAGTTGCATGACAAGCCTCAGCTCATTCTCTTCAATGGCACTCGTCAGTGTGACTTTAAAAAGATACCTGCACTACTTTGATGTGATTTTTGATGTGGAATAACGAATATGGAACATCGCTACCTTTACTCTCAACACATCCAACTATCTATTATATATATCCCATTCTTATGAAAGTGCAATGTTCCCAAAATTTTACAAATACAATATCATATATAACATCAGCTTATATAAAGTGCAAAATAACCTATTATGTAAACTTTCCCTTCAATAATACATAAAATCCAATCCTATATTTCATCTATCTCGCTAAAAAATAAAAAGTGATCCTTGTGACTTCGATCCAGAGAGTGTAAAGTCATATCAAATCGCATCAAAGTCACGCTCCAAAATTGAGCTGGAAATCGTGCAACTTTGAAGTCACGCAAGTGACCAACAACTTTTACTCCTTTCCAGCCCTATATGCCTTCTGGACAGAAGTATGTATACTTGTCCAAAAAATCACAGACCACTCCATTTCAAAGGACCCAGGGTTTTTCCTTCTTCATCACAACAATATCCAACTTAAATCCAGACTAAAAAACTCAGTAATGATACATCTGGTCAACACTACACTTATGTACATATAAAGTGACACAGCGCAAATAATTTGAATAATAAAAAAAATGTGAAAAATTAAATATATATATTAAAGTCCAACAAGCAAAAGTCCCAAATTAAAGTCCAATGCCCCAAAAATGTGTGACAAAAAATATATATAAAACTTTAACGCAAACTTCATAAAATTTTCCAGTGTGATCACATCCTCAGTGAAAAAACATTTGTTCCACATTCACCAAATACTGTGAATTATCGAGAGCTTATATAGCTTTAAGAGACAAAAAACAAGCATGCAGGTGAAGTGTGGTATCCTCAGATTAATCACTGACTTTCCTTCCCAGATATTTCCACATAGGACAATATAAAATATAAAAGAAAAAATGCCAATAGTATAATACTGTATGATGATCAAATGGAAATTTCAATAAAAAAAACTTTCCTTACACTCACATAAGGTGGCTTAAAAACCAATTTCCATGAGTTCACATGCCTCCCAAATCACCGCTTTTAACTTCTCACTCATGGATGGACAGATAAGGGTAATTCGATGGATTTGTGACCAGCTTGTATGACGAGTAAGGGTAATTCGATGGATTTGTGACCAGCTTGTATGACGAGTAAGGGTAATTCGATGGATTTGTGACCAGCTTGTAACTCCCAAGCAACTGCTAATAATTCCTCCTTAATTTTCCCTCAAATTCACTCTCATGGATGGATGGATAAAAAATGCAAAATAAAGGATACCAAAATAGTGTAACACTGTATAAAAACTTTTAATAATCAGGTGATGTTCCAAATGCACTCACATTTTGAAACTGAATATAAAGCCTTTTTATAAATAAATTAAGACTCCTTTAAACTTATTCCAATAGCCCTTCTGACAATTCCAGCTAGGCAGACACAGTTGATCAGCATTGGCAGTGAAGAACTGGCAAAAGTGTAGAATTCAGATCGTTTTGCCCACGCTAAAGATGGCCGTGGAATGCCGCATCAGCTTGAGCTCCGCTCACTGAATATGATGTCACACGTTCAGGATCGGAAGTTACGCCGACACGTTTCACCTTCCCACAAGGCATCATCATGGACCATGGTCCACCTACTCTTTACTTTTACCTCCAGTTCTGTCTTGCAGAATCCATGTTGTTTACTAATTGTTAAAGATGTCGGCAGCCTTCTGCTCCTTAACAACCAGCTTAAAGTCGCATAAAACACAACACAACAGTGTGATAAGGAGATGGCTCCATGTGTTCCCATTAGGAAGATTCACTCTCTGATATTGTCTTGATCACCAATGTCACCAGTGATAAAAGTGAGAGTAACTGCAAAAATTTGAGTTGTCCACAACAGGAATAGAGGGGAAATCTTCGAATGAATGGTGCTCAACTGCAGTGACATTGCAGGAGAGGAAGTCAAGGAAAGCCTAGTTTCTCTATGGTGTCCTGGGTAACAGGGGGCAGCTATCCGATTGGATGTTGGTGGCCCATTTGACTTTGGTGGACATCTTGGGTCAAGCAGAGTCTACTTAAGACCCTGGCTCCCGGGCTATGTGCACATTTTTTGTCATGCAGTTTAAGCCCAATTTTCTTATTTTTGGGCAATTTCAGTTTGGTGAGTGTTTGTCCGAGAGCTGGTGATGGGCTGCACTTTTCTACAGCTTTATTTAATCAGGATTAGCTTGTTGCATATTTGTTTAAGAGGGTTGCTCTTTAGTCAAGAGAAGCTCAACTGGCAGAATGTTGACTAGCAAATGGGGGTTGACTCAGCAAAGTGAGAAGATAAAGGATGGCTGTACTTTGCGTGCTTCAAAAACTAAGCTCTAAGGCTTTTTTCTAGATAAGTGACCAAACTCACAGGACATCTGTAATATTTATTTATGATTTACTGACAATAGACTACAAATATGTGCTATTCCACAAAAATTGTAGTAAAATAGTATTCTGCAATAAAATATGTCAGTCAAATTTAGACATGCAATCTAAAAAAGTACAAACAATCAGCAATGTTATTTAAAACATAGGATTTTCTATGATTTTGTGTATTACTATTTTATATTGATTTTTTTTTTTTAAATCCCATGCAACATACATTTTTCCCAATTTAAAGTGGAAGTAAAGTCCTACAATAAAAAAAAAAAAAAAACAACTTGGGGCCCCTGGGCAGTTTATGTCATAATGTTCATAATGTGCTAATATACATAGCATGATAGCACATTAAATTGTCAATATGGTGCAATTCCTGGGCTGAGACAAAGTAGAGAAACACAAAAACTGCCCTTGCAATTCGAGTAAAAATATTTTTTTCTATTCCCTATTATCCCCCAGTTTTTAGATGAATAAAGCATACATTTATTCATTCACCATTGCATCTTACATGTCAGTTCTCCACAGTTTGGTTGTTGTGCAGGGTGGGGCATTTAAGCCGCCATAGATGATGCAATTTTCTTTCCTGCAACCGCGGTAAAAAATGCGGTACTTAAAAACCCCCCATCCATACCAGGCCCTTTGGATCTGGTATGGATTTTAAGGAAGACCCCACACCAAAATTTAACAAAAAACGGCCTTCAGGTCTGGTATGGATTTAGGGGGTACCCCACACCGAAAAAAAAAAAAAGGTGTGCAGGTCCCCTCACAATCCTAAGGAATTTTGGGTCTGGTATTGATCTGGGGGGGACTCCGCGCCATTTTTAAAAAAAAATATTTTGATGTGGGATTCCCCTTAATATCCATACCAGAACCCTAGGGGTTGGGGGGAGACCCCATCACTGCATCTGAAAAAATACTGCATGTGATATCGCCACCAAAACCTGGTGATAAATATCGCATCTTTTTTCACTTTCTGTTCTGTTTGTGAATTGGACTTTACAGCTTACAGCATGTTTTGTTTTTTTTGTTTTTTAAATTTTGCGTTAAATACCTCAGAATGGTTTTTTTTATTTTTTTTTATTTTTGGGGGGGGAATTGGACATTTTGTTACCGCAGGCGATAATTTATGCAAATGAGTCTTGTGACAGTGTTATCACATGCAGTAACCTTTAGTGAAGTGACCCCAAAGCCTAATGAAAGTCATAAACAACAAAGGCTATCCATACACATGCCAATTTTCCATAATATTCTACTAAAATACAATGAAATGCATTTCCTAAAGGCAAGTAGACTGTGCACTTTGCAAGTGCAGTTGTACTCATCTTCGTCAATAAATTTAAATTTGGTAAAACTTTACTTTGCAAAGAATACCCAGTCAGGTGAAAGGAACATAAAAAACAGCATTTTTGCTGGCACATGATTGGATGATGAAAATCAGCAGAGCTTTACCATATTTTTACAAGTCCTGGGGAAAATTAGTGCAACTGCATTTGTAAAATGCCCAGCCAATTTGCATTTTGTAATTCTACTCTAATATCTTAACAATGGAATGTTCATTAGCAGACAAAGAAATATACACATTTAATCATTTCATGTGACTTCTGCAATTTTCAGATTTTACAGTTGCTGTTTCTGGCTGTTTATGCTTTTAAACTAGCAGATGGGCCAGCAGGAGCTTAAAGAGACTAGATCCCATTGAGCCCGGATTTACATCAGTGCGGTGCGGTAAATCCCATGTTATTCGCACAATAACCGCATTTCTGTACAAATCACATGCGATTTGTATGCGGTGTGATTGGAGCCATACATTTTGTATGGCTCTAGTCGCACCGCACCCGCACCAAAAAGATGCAGAACCCTTTTATGGTCCGCAGTAGAATCGGATCGTATGGGTATTCACACCTATGTGATCCGATTTTGCACATCTCACTGTGTTTTGTGGACCGCTTTCGGAGTGTTGTTAACTTAACATACACACCCGCAGTGGTTCGTATGAACGGGGTGCGATTCTGATGCACTGAAAATGCTGCAAATTCCGCACCGCATCAGTGTGAACCAGGGCTGAAAGACCCTACCTATTTTGGAGGCACATAAAGATGCCTTTTGGCAATGGCAGTGATGAGTCTGAAGGTAGTGATGTCGGAAAGGGTCATCTGTTTTCTATGGGCCAGCGAATGGAATTAAATGGTCGAGGCTGGTAACAGTCTGTACAATGGTGGAGCACATCACCCTTGGAAGAGTTGGCATGCTGTCAAGAAGATATACATATTGGGCATCGGTCACAGGCATTAATTACAAGTCTAGTCTGTTCTGCACAGATACACTGGAGATGATGTGGTTTATTTACTAAAGGCACTTTACTTTACAGGGGAAAGGTGCACTTTGCAAGGGAATTTGCTGCAGAGCTTAGTGAATGAGGCAAAGCTCTACTGACTACCATCAACCAATCATATGTAAGCAAAAATGCTGTTTTTTTTTCTTGTATGTGATTGGGTATTTTTTGCAATGTGATATTTCATCACATTCACTGAGCTGTGGCGAGAATTCCCTCGTACAGTACAACTTCTCTTGGAAAGTGAACAGCCCATATGCCTTTAGTAAATGAACCCCAATGTACAGTGATAAAAATATGCAATGTTTGCACATTGATTTACATTTCTACCAATGTGAATGATGTTTATAAAATTAGAAATTACAGCCATCCACCACGTAGGGCTTGTCGACACATGAGATAACCTCTGAAGGATGATCCACATTCAGCCTACTCACCGCCTGTTTTAAACCCCTTAAACTGTGTACCAGCGTGCCACAACCACATGCGTTATACATGGCCGTGGGGCACCCCCTTTAGTTGAATGGGTTGCATTTGGCAGGCAGTACTGAGAATGTGACATATGTACACACCATATATACACACTCCTCCTGATGCCTTTGAAGCTTAACCATTTCAAGTCCAGACACTTTCATCCCCTTCCAGTCCAGGCCAATTTTTAGCTTTCAGAGCTTTCACACTTTGAGTGACAATTACACAGTTGAGCAACACTGTACCCATATGAAATTTTTATCATTTTTTGAGACAGACATAGCTTTCTTTTGGTGGTATTAGTTCACCACTGAGTTTGTTTTTTTTTGCTATGTAAATGAAAAAATACTGAAAATTTTGAAAAAAAAATTTTTTTTCTTAGTTTTGTTATAAGATTTTGAAAATGAATAATCTTTTCCTCATAAATTTAGGCCAAAATGTTTTCTGATACATTTTTGGGGTAAAAAAACCCCCCAAAACAGTATATATTATTTAGTCTGTGTGAAAGTTATAGAGTCTAAAAACTATGGGATATATATTTGAAAATTGATCAGTTGAGACCCTAAAATACTGGACACTGGTATGGCATATGGAAGTGATCAGGACGCTGGTATGGGGTATAGCGGTGATCAGGACATTAGCATGAGGTATGGCGGTGATCAGGACGCTGGTATGGTGTATGGCGGTGATCAGGACGTTAGCATGGGGTATGGTGGTGATCAGGACGCTGGTATGAGGTATGGCGGTGATCAGGACGTTAGCATGAGGTATGGCAGTGATCAGGACGCTGGTATGGGGTATGGCAGTGATCAGGACGCTGGTATGGGGTATAGTGGTGATCAGGACGTTAGCATGAGGTATGGCGGTGATCAGGACGCTGGTATGGGGTATGGTGGTGATCAGGATGTTAGCATGAGGTATGGCGGTGATCAGGACGCTGGTATGAGGTATGGCGGTGATCAGGTCGTTAGCATGAGGTATGGTGGTGATCAGGACTCTGGTATGGGGTATAGCGGTGATCAGGACGTTAGCATGAGGTATGGCGGTGATCAGGATGCTGGTATGGTGTATGGCGGTGATCAGGACGTTAGCATGGGGTATATGGCGGTGATCAGGACACTGGTATGAGGTATGGCAGTGATCAGGACGTTAGCATGAGGTATGGCAGTGATCAGGACGCTGGTATGGGGTATGGCAGTGATCAGGACGCTGGTATGGGGTATAGCGGTGATCAGGACATTAGCATGAGGTATGGCGGTGATCAGGACGCTGGTATGGGGTATGGTGGTGATCAGGACATTAGCATGAGGTATGGCGGTGATCAGGACGCTGGTATGAGGTATGGCGGTGATCAGGACGTTATCATGAGGTATGGCAGTGATCAGGACGCTGGTATGGGGTATGGCAGTGATCAGGACGCTGGTATGGGGTATGGCGGTGATCAGGACGCTGGTATGGGGTATGGTGGTGATCAGGACGTTAGCATGGGGTATGGCGGTGATCAGGATGTTAGCATGAGGTATGGCGGTGATCACGATGCTGGTATGGGGTATGGCGGTGATCAGGACGTTAGCATGAGGTATGGCGGTGATCAGGACGCTGGTATGGGGTATGGCGGTGATCAGGACTTTAGCATGAGGTATGGCGGTGATCAGGACACTGGTATGGGGTATGGCAGTGATCAGGACGCTGGTATGGGGTATGGCGGTGATCAGGACGCTGGTATGGGGTATGGTGATGATCAGGACGTTAGCATGGGGTATGGCGGTGATCAGGATGTTAGCATGAGATATGGCGGTGATCAGGATGCTGGTATGGGGTATGGTGGTGATCAGGATGTTAGCATGAGGTATGGTGGTGATCAGGATGCTGGTATGGGGTATGGCGGTGATCAGGACGTTAGCATGAGGTATGGCGGTGATCACGATGCTGGTATGGGGTATGACGGTGATCAGGACGCTGGTATGGGGCATGGCGGTGATCAGGATGTTAGCATGAGGTATGGCGTTGATCAGGATGCTGGTATGGGGTATGGTGGTGATCAGGACGTTAGCATGAGGTATGGCGGTGATCAGGATGCTGGTATGGTGTATGGCGGTGATCAGGACGTTAGCATGAGGTATGGCGGTGATCACGATGCTGGTATGGGGTATGACGGTGATCAGGATGCTGGTATGGGGTATGGCGGTGATCAGGCTGTTAGCATGAGGTATGGCGGTGATCAGGACGCTGGTATGGGGTATGGCGGTGATCAGGATGTTAGCATGAGGTATGGCGGTGATCAGGATGCTGGTATGGGGTATGGTGGTGATCAGAATGTTAGCATGAGGTATGGTGGTGATCAGGACGCTGGTATGGGGTATGGCGGTGATCAGGACGTTAGCATGAGGTATGGCGGTGATCAGGACGCTGGTATGGGGTATAGCGGTGATCAGAACGTTAGCATGAGGTATGGCTAATGTCCTTTTCTGGGGACAACCCAAAATGTGGGGTTTCTTCTACTGTCACTTTCAATGATAATGGTATACAGGACAAATAAAGAGGGGGGGTCTCCCTAATGGGGGGCACAGACAGCAATAAAAACCTGACGGGTTCTAACAACACTCCACCAAAATCACTCCACTTAAAAAAAAGTGTTACCTTTAATTATACTTGAATAAGTCATTACACTGTAATAGAGGTCAGTATTTTAAAGTAGAGTACAGACCACAAGTTGCAGAAGTGACTTTTCCATATGCTGTACTGCTAACAGGAGTGCTGGGGAAGCTTTATTTTTGGTTCAATGGTTTCTAAATGTAAGTGAACCTATTACTTTGCCCATTTAGACCTTCCACATACTCCTACTCCACCCTGTTTGCTGCTGCTTCCCTGAGTTAAAAACTCTGTCATAATGGGTTGGATTCCTTATGCACAACAACAGGGAGCTTACACAGACAAGGCAATTGGCCACCCAGTCACCATGCACTGCATGCTCCATCCCATCTATATGAGCTTTTCTGTTGTTCTATCGATCTGTATCAAGTTACAATTGTTTTGATGTATGCGGACATGTAGAAGTTATTCAGGGCCCTCTACCGCTTTTTTACAAGGTAATTTGTTATGTTCTTCTGACCCCCTTTCCTCCTCTTCTATTTAGTGCTAGTTATTTCAGTCCTACAGGAACCCTCTCTGGTTTTTTCTTGTTCCCTCAGTCAGTGTTAGTTCACTGCTGAGATGGGTCTTAGAAATATTCTCATCCTCTGGACTGCACCTATCTGAAGTAAACTTGCATTGGATTCACCTTCTGTGTCTTATTGAAGAGTTAAGCTGCCTGTGGGCTAAGGTTAGTAAAAGCAGGTGGTGAGCACTTAGCAAGAAAATTTGCCACTTTGCCTTAAATGTGCAATATGTAGTATGATCACGTCACATATTAATTCAAATAAACACAAGGAAAAAGCATAATTACCAATTCATGATGAATATTTCCTAGGAAGCAACATAACAAGGAAAAGAAACCACTGGCTTACTGAACAAGTGATTTTCAGAGGATACAGTGAATATTCACATATATGGAAAAAAATGGAAAATGCTGGGGTGGGTATGCTGCAAATGATCTGATAGATATATGAACTAATATGAGGAGGTCCAAAGGTGAAAGCACGCAGTCTAGTAGTAGTGATAAGCTCAGACAATGTGTGTAATGGGCAGGTCTAGTGTTCTCCTTCAGTTTGCACAGGAAAGGTCTCAGCAATATATTTATAGGAGACGTTTCAGTTCAGTATAAAGCACTGAACCAGCCTGCCGAACAGGGGAGCCACCATCCAGACTCACAGCACCGGCACCAGGTACAATACATCATCATATGGGGGATGGACTGCACTATGCACCGAGGACACTGAGGATGGAAGAATTAATAAGCGCATGTTATAGGCTGAGCAATTGAAATATTGGCAAAACATGTGAAATGGACATTTGACATTCCTGGAGACTGAATCTGGTAATACACAGGCAGAGCAGACAGGGCAACATTTCTAGTACTTTAGTTAAGTATGAAAATCTAGCCATCAGCAATGTTGGTAAAATGTAACAAAATTGGGCGATCTAGTTTTGGGGGTACCACAGCATTATTTGTAGGACAAACACATATAGTCACCAATGCAAATCTAACAAAAAAAATTGTTTTTTCCATTCCAACTAAGCTGCGTCTGAACCGATAACTATCAGGTGGTCTGAGAAAATCCTTACAGGTTCCAATTATTAACAAAGATTCCATAACAAGAGCCTCCTCACCATATACTCTACCTATTCATGGGCACTTTAGGCATTGCTGTCACAAAACTGATTATACTGTCTCCATCGAGGAGCTATTTCTTAATTTACATTTTTTTACTGTATTAATTTACTAATGACTTTTTCATCACAGTGCTTGCTTTCATATAACGCACAGACACTGTTTTTAACTGTTGATCACATTAAAGGTTTTGCAATGCATTACACTTCATCAATGAAGTACATTTCTGTCCAGGGGCGGACTGATCATTTGGAAACTCGGGCACTGCCCGAGGGCCCGGGGTCAGTAGGGGGCCCCAATGAGATGCCCCTGGTACCTTTTTCATAGGCTATTTTGAGTTTGGGCAAGGACATAGGGGCCCCATGATCCCCTATTGCCCGGGGGCCCCATGAGTTGTCAGTTTGCCCCTGTTTTTGTCTATCAGTACATTGAAAGACATTTTAGTAATAAATGTATGTGGCCCAAGGGACACATGAAACCAGATATAACAAAATAGCATTTTCATTTAGAATTACATGCTGAGTGTGGAATATGCTGAAATTGCGTTTAATGTTGAACACTGCATATTATGTAAGTGCTCTAAAAAATAATAATATTAGTATAAACAGTATATCTCAATTGTGAGTGCAAGCATTTGGGTTTAAATATTTATGATTAATGAAGTGTTCATTTTTTTGTATAGTTTTAGATCTTAAAGTGTCTAAACCCCGGACCCGGCATTCACTCTATCTGGTCTCCCACAGTACGCAGAACATGGAAATGCAATTATTTTAGTAAATATAAATTGCTAAATACCTTTTCCCATCAGTAGTTAGAGCAGTCTTGTGACTTCTATCAGTGTCCAGCAGAGCACTGGTTAATCTTGTAGGAGGAGTTTTCATTCTGCTGTGACTGTCCTTTGAGGCTGCAGGACCCCTGATCCTCTGTCTGGACAGTGCTGATCACATGCACTCTCCCAAGAAACACAAAGTTTATAGCAATACACACCAAACTGAGTATGTGCAGCTTCCTCCCAAGGCTCTATTGTATCTGCAGATGGATTGTGGACAGTAAAAAAAGGGGAGGATCAGAGAAGACAAGATCAAACAGCCTTTTTACACAATGCTAAGGATTAACCCCTTAGGTTCCACAGTGAGTATAACCAGAATGTATTACTGCATATGATTGTTGGTTGTAGGTTTAGTAACATTTTAAAGTGATACTAAAGGCTTAACTTTTTTTTTCTAAAAATAACAAACATGTTTATACTTACCTGCTGTGTGCAGTAGTTTTGCACAGAGCAGCCCGGATCCTCCTCTTCTCAGGTCCCCTGCTGGGGCTCCTGGCCCTCCTCCCTCCTGTCGGGTGCCCCCACAGCAAGCAGCTTGCTATGGGGGCACCCTCTGCTCCGTGTGTCCATTCAAACACGGAGCCGAGGCTCGGCCCTGCCCCCCTCTCTCTTCTCATTGGCTCACTGGCTGTGATTGACAGCAGTGGGATCCAATGGAGAGGGAGTCCCGGGATAGCGGAGACTCCAGGGCCCAACGCAGGATCGTGAGGGTGCGTAGGTGAGTATTGGGGGGGGGGCGGCTGCACAGGGAAGGTTTTTTACATTCATTTATAGAATGAATGAAGGTAAAAAACGTTGAGCCTTTACAACTACTTTAATTTCAGCATAAAGAATCAAGTGCAACAGTTTGTTTTGGAATGTAGAAACTATAAAATATATAGTTTAGCAAATGAGAATGAAAAACTATTATTTGCAGTTAAAGTGAGTGTATGTCAACCCAAAAATGCAATGTATATATATATGCTTGTTCACGCCTCACTAAAGTTCTTTTGCTTTATCTTGTACAGATTTGCATTGATAGTCTTACATTTCTGTCCACCTACTGAGATTAGGTAGTATAGGTTGGGTGACATTCATACTGCCATTCACAGAGCAAATGTGTTGCCGCCCTTACATGCTTTCTCCTTGTAGTCTCTCCCATTGCACCTGCTTCAATAGAAAGTGCACAGCAGCAATGTCCTGAGCACAAATGTGCTGCCGCTACTTCTAATCCACCCACAGTCCTAGCAGTGCCCAGGACTTGCACAGTGGAAGCAGTCACATGACTATAAGAACTGAGCACAACATTTTCCATTGTGCAGGCTATATGGCTGGAGAATACCCTGCTAGATTCTTGCAATTCCTTTATATCAAAGATTGTCAGGCAGGGAAATATTATGGTACGCTGGAGAATTTTGTAGCCAAAATGTTATATGTAAAAAACATTAAGTGCTAAAAAAACTACACATACTGTACATTATACAGACACAAGGTAGCTAAGAATTTAAAGATGTGTGAATGAATCTGGCTTTAATGCCTTTATTATTCCACAAAACTACTTGCCTGTATATACGTAGCATATTTCTTAGCTGGCCTCAAATCATCAACTTTGAATATAGAGTTTTATTTGCTTTATTGTTACTGGAATGTATGTTCACTTTTTTTTTTAGGAGGGGGTCAAAACTTTTTTTACAGTTCTCTACAATGCTAACTAGCTGGATAAGGTTCCAGACAAAGGTGTGCCAAGTTAATCATTAACAAACCAACCTAACCACAAATGTTGCCCGATAACAGGTTTACAGCTGGAACTATTACCTACAGTTCTATACAATCCATTACTCTTCACCAAAGTCCTATGACTGAGTCAGTATTTCTTGTGACAACTCACCACTGACCAGTACATGTAACAAAGCTATGAAGTCACACTATATTGCAAAAAGTGTTGAGACATCCCTTCAAATCATTGGATTCAGGTGTTCCAATCACCTCTATGGCCAAAGGTGTATAAAATCAAGCACCTAGCCATGCAGACTGCTTCTGAAAACATTTGTGAAAGAATGGGTCACTCTCAAGAGCTCAGTGAATTCAAGCGTGGTACTGTGATAGATTGCCACCTGTCCATCCATGAAATTTCCTTGCTACTAAATATTCCACAGTCAACTGTTCGTTGTATTTTAACAAAGTTGAAGCAACTGGAAACAACAGCAACTCAGCCACCAAGTGGTAGGCCACGTAAAATGGAAGAGTGGGGTCAGCGGGACTCT